AGAATCTATTTCTTTTTAATACTCTCTCCCAACCATCTAGTATCCAACCCTCTCAAGTACACACAGTCACTATTATCACTCTTATACAATTCTTAATTAATTATTATAATTAGTTAATACTTTGCCTATCACTATAAGAACGGTAACAATATATATATAATTATAGTGATAATAATAATAATGAAAATGATTGCTATAATTTTTATAATATTATTAATTTCTGTAAAAATAATAATTTTATAAAAAAAATATATTAGAAATTTTTTTAGAAATATTATAATTATGAAATATATAGCAAATAATTATTAATTCTTTAATAATTATTATCATTATTACTAATTATGTTTAATAGTACATATAAGAAATACATTCTTATTTATTTCTAGCTACAAATTATTCATTTTTATTATCAAGTTTATAATAATATGATTATAATGAATGGATTGTTCTAATTAACAGATAATTTGGAATCATTAAATCAAGAATCGATCCTGGATTATCCCAATTTTAGATTCTAGGATCTCGAGCTGAGCCAATTCTGTCTAAGATCATTAGTCCTTGGACTGGATCAAATGGGATGGATCAATTAATATTCCTATAATAAAGCAAATATTATTAGTAAATATCTTAGTTATGAAGCTAAAATTATATCATATCTGTACCCTCCTTGTAAAGAACTTATTGAATATACATAGAAGCCAGATCCATAAATAAGTTTATATAAAACATTGAATTTTTGTATTATGATATGTAAAGCATTTTTGAATACATAAGATGACATTTCCGGTAGTTGTTGGATCAGCTGATTATTGAATAAGAACGCGTCAATTCAAAAAATTCAACCAATCACATCAATTTTGAAATTTTGAAACGATAATCAAAACAACAATTGCCACATTTTGTTCTTCCTCACTAAAGTAGCAAAATGGCAACAGCTCACAATCTAAAAGGCATTCAAAAGAACAAGCCGCCGCTAAAAGAAAGTGCTACTACTGCTACAAACATTGCAAATTCCAACAACAACGCAAGCACATTAATAAATAATGACACACTATATGATTTTGACGCGCCAAAATACCGAACATTTAATGAAGACTCGACGTATGGAGAAGGTGACTCTTGGTTTGGCATGTATTGTTAATCTTTCTTACCAATTTATACTAAGTATTGAACAAGAAATTGAATTTAGAAAGGTTCCTATAAAATAATATATTTGTTTTCTATTGTCAAAAGATAGAAGACTTGGAACACCTGCAAGTCCCTTAATTAAATTTGATTCTGTTATTGCGAGCCCGTTTTGGTCGAAACCGCCTCCGCTTCTACCTACTTCACTTCATAAAACAAATAAAGAAAATAATGTACCTAAAGAAACCAATGCTACTACTACGTTTAAAGGTAAATCCCATCGAAAGCTTGTAAATTCCTATAACCACAACTAATATCATCCTGCTCCATCTTTTCATGTAGTAAACAAACTCGACGCACTCGTACGATCATCAACTAAACAAAAGACCACTATCGCCCACCTCAACAATCACCACCAGGCCAAAGGAAAAAAACCGATAGAAATCCCGTTAAAAGTATACGACGAATTTAAAGTTGATCCGTCAGATTTCTACGATCAGAATCAAAAGTTCCAACTGGAACCGGTTCGTAATTCGAAAAACGCGCTTGATCAGTTACATCGAAACTTGGGGATCAAGAAAAAGAATCCATGTGATGATCCGTTGTATAATTTTGAGGCTCCGACATGGGGTGATTTTAATGAAAATGTGACGTTTGGTAGTGGTGATTCTTGGTTTGGTGGGTATTCCGTATTAATTAGTATAATTTAAATTCACATATTTAATTTATCTATAAAAAATCGCGAGTTAAAAAACGATATATATTTTATTATTAAATAGATCGGCACTTACCTACTCCTGGTCAATCTTTAATTAACACTTCGAAAGTGTCAGTGGCTCCTACAGAACTAAACACAACAATCATTCCAACAGCAGTTCCAGATATTAAAGACTTAAACCCACAAGAAAGACCAGCGGTAATCTCAACACCAGTCTCGGCGAACAAAAAGGAACAAAACTTACCAAAGAAGTCTTCTGTCAATTCAACAACAATAGTTCCTAAAAAAATAAATACACCTAAAAAATTACTAGTAACATTCATAGACGAGTTTTCAGAAAAGGAAGGAAAAGAACCAGACCCACCAAAAAAATCTTCTATTATTTCAACACCAGTTCCCACAGTTCAAAAGAAGGAACCGAAATTACCAGAGAGATCAACGCCATATCCTAAACAGATTAATACACCTAAACAAAATGTACCCAAAAAATCGCTGCAGCCAGATCTACAACATAAACCGATAAATTCACAAAAGAAAATATCGCCGATTACTTCAAAAGCAATAGTGCTAACTCAAAAGAGACAAATTTTAAAGAAGAGAAAATCCCCATTGAGAGCCCCGCCAAAGAAAGCCAGGAGTTCGTTAATTCGAAGAAAATCTCGAGGTGTTCAAGTATGTTATCATTTATCTTTCATTGGTTTTATGTATTTGATATCTTGAAAGTTAAATTTTTCGATCTCATTTTATCATATAGAAACGCCAACCGGTTTTACGTAAAAACGTCACAATTCCAAAACCATTCAAGTTCCATTCAACATCACGAGCAACCCAGGAAAAACGGGTTTCATATGTTCCGTTGGCCGCTCAAGTACAAAGATTTTACAGTGACAGATTCAAGTCGTCAACGATGAAACTTATCAACCATGTAAACAAGGTAAAATTTATTTTTCTATTCGATAAGAAAATATATTTTTGATACGATAAGTTAATCAACAAATAATGTGCATGTATTTTTTAGAATACAATCAAAGCACCACGACCTCCTTTTTCTGCTAAAGTTGGATCATCATCTAGACACGATCTGTGTAAGGAGTACCACGAGAGGGAACAACAAACACAAAAACCTGGAAAAGAAAATAAAACAACGACGACTTCAAATAATAATAATCCACATAAAAAATCTAAAAAGCCGTTGACTCGTCCAATTGGGTTTAAATTCAAGACCGACGCGCGTATTGAAAAGCGTAAAATCTTTGAGAAAAAGAATTGAATTCTAATGATTATTAAAATTTTGTCATGTACTTTTTGATTCCGGATTATTGCTTTTGTTAAAGTTATTTATTGTATGGGCTGGTTGGCTAGTTACTTTTTCTTTTGGTTTTTCATTATAATAATTTCTTTTTGCATCATCTATGTTTAGTCATCATCGCAAGGCAAGCATATTTTTATTCCTTGGCTTAACGTATCAATAAAAAACGAAAAATTGTGTAAATGCAATCATGAATCCCAAGGACTTTCCTCCAATAATGTGTTTCGGTCAAGTTTAGTATTAACCAAAAGTAAATTGATTAGAACTTGAAAGATAATTGCAGCATGTATTGAAGTATCGGTGTAACTTTTTGTTGTTGCTATACGATAGCAAATATTTTTTTTTGCTTTGACACGGAAAAGTATAACCCTATTAAAATACTCTAACCCCTGACCCAGTCAAATGCTGATTGGCGTAATGCATAATAAATTAGACGCGCGTAATTTGATCGATTTCTAAATCGCAAGGATGCTTTCCATTTATCCAGTAATCATGGATGACAACAGGACAAGTACTTTAACACTTGTCGGTATGTATTGTGCGCATTCGCAGAATTCAATTGCCAACCTTCTGAAAAATGAGGGTCTGTCGTCCGGTACATGGACATTGTTACGGTCAAGATTTTACGTGTTAAATAATTAAAATATGAATAATGTTAAGCCAGGTTTGATCCGAAACTCGCAAAATAGTTTTTCATTAATAACATTTATTTTTATTAAGACACCTGTATTTGTGTCTTAAGTAGAGTTGTTCGAAATGTAATGTGTATATATTTACAAATTTTTGTTCAATTTAAATTAATATTGAATGAGAAATAACAATTTTTAGTCTAATTGAAATGTTTTAAATCTGGAGTTTGATACCAACTTGACCCGACCTGAAGTGTGCGGTTCAGATCAGGTCACAGATTTGACCTGATCCGATTTAACAATTTTTCTGTTCAATAAGAAAATTCTTATTAAACATACATATAATCAATTTCTTTATAGTTATATATATTATTAAATTTAATAGTTTTTTTATAAATGTGATTATATTGTCACCAATTTCAGAGCTATGAGTAATTGTGTACATGAATAAAAGATTGGATAATTGAATTATTCAAAAAGAAAATCTCATAATATTATGAAAAATAATGAGTGAAAGAGATTAAACAAATATAATTTCAATAAGAAAACTAATAAATAAAGAAATATAAATATTATTTTTCATAGATCAGCAAGATAAAAACTAAAAATAAGATAATAATAGTTTTTTATCAAGTTAATATAATTTTAAAGAGTATAATAAGTTATAATTATATTTATTAAATAATATAAGTGTATTAAATATTATAAATATAATAATTCTAAGCTAAAATACATATTATTTATATATTTATTTCTATTTTCAAAAAAAATCAATTAAATTATAACTCATTTTCATATATTATAAGTAATATATAATATTATTTCAGTTTGCTAAGTATTATATATTTAAAATTGGTATTAATATAAGTTAAAATACAAAAATATTATTAATATTTCTTTGTTATTATATAATAAATTAATTAAATATAAAATTAAATCAATATATAATACTCATCAGAAGTAATGGATCTCCAATAACTTTCTATAAATTATATATAATGTTTTGAAATTTTCTGAGCACAAAGAATATTACGAATATTGTTGTATAATGATCTTTCGTCATAATATTTTATTATTGGATTATAAATATCTCATATATTATTGGATAAAG